CGCCGCGCGGGCGCTCGCTGTGGCCGATTTCAGGCGCCTCCCTTCGTCGAGCTTCTGCCTGAGGTCCAACGTACCCGAGATGGCCTCAATCGTGAGTCTCACGCGTTCCGGGTGCGCCTCGGGCTCTATGTCAAACGGGGGCGGGGGCAGAACCTCCTTTTCCATGGGGGCCTTCCCTTCTTCATCCGGGGCATTTTCTCGCGCCTCCTCCTTCTTTTCCTCTTGCATTGCAAAGGCCCTCTGCGTCCTATCTTCCCCTTTCCTCACGAACTCGTTCAACATTCCTCGATCCACCAGCCCTTGGATCTCTGCCTTGAGTTGATAACAATCAGCAGTGTGATGGCCCCTTTCCCGGTGGAACTCGCAGTACCTGTCGAGGTTCTGCTCGTTCGGGCGCCCCCTCATTGGCCCCGGCCAGCGAATATGGTATCCCTTATCCTTCACGAACTGCAGCACATTCTTCAGTGAGTCATTAAGTTCGGTGAAGTTCCCTCCCCCCTTCGGTGGGAAACGCAGCGGTTCCGGGCGCCGAATGCTTGCCGGGAAATGCGGGTGGTGCGCGACAACGGGCTGTGGGCGAAGCGCCCTGGCCACCTCCGCCTCTTCTGGGCGCACGTCCCTCCTCTCCAGCCTTCTTGCTGCCAATGTTTCCTCCAACATGATCACCTTTTGCACCCTCCGATCTAAGTCTTCGGTCGATGTCACGTCCCTCTTAGACAGCGCTCGGCACAGCTCTTCGCTTGTAGTGCACTCGTCCAGGCAGCACCCTAGTACCGGGGGCTTCACGTCCTTGACCGCCATGGCTACAGACATCCATCGCTCATAAAAGGCCCTGAGCGCCTCGCCCTTCCGCTGCTTGACCTTGAACAAGGCGCTTATAGTGAGGCTCCGGCGCTTCCGGCTGGCGAACTTCGAAAGAAAGAGCGCCGCGAATTGCTCGAAGCTGTCGATCCGCCCCTCCTCTATCTGATGGTACCAGTCCAACACCACGCCTGTAAACGTCGAAGGGAAGGCGCGACACAAGGTGGCGTCGGAGCTGTTGTATAATTGCATCTTCGTGAAGTAGTTGTTCAAGTGATCCTCTGGATCGGCCGCCCCGTCGTAAGTGGGAAGCGCTGGGATGACTGAGTTCGCTTGCTCGGACAGTATGCTCCGCGCGAGGGGCTGTCGCACCCCCCACGCTCTCCCCTGTCGACGGTGCGCCCATCCATTGTGCTCGTCGAAATCCGAGGCCATGTGCTTCGTCAAGTGCCCCATATCTTCCATGCGCCTTAGCGCGCTGGACGCCCCCTCCTCTTCGTCCTCTCTGTCTCGTCTCTTTCCCAGCGGGGGGCCCGCCTCAGCTCCTCTTTTCAATACTTCCACTTCTTTCCTTAGCGCCTCCAGTGCCTGTTCCTGCTGCTCGACTATGTGAAGTAGATGCTCCTTCGTGAGGGTGGCTCCCTCGGACTGGGTAGTCTCCTGCGCCCCGTCGTCGACCGCCGCATGCGCCTCTCCCGACAACACAGGTGCTTCCCGGGACGCTTCGGCCCCCGCTGGTCCCCCTTCTCCTTCGCCTGCCCCTCGCGCCTCCATGACACTTTTGTCTTCTGCGCCCCCTATCTGGCGCGCCAATTGTTCGAGCCCGGTAACTAGGCGCCCCGAACCCTCGCGCTTTATCCTTCCCGCACGCTCGGACCTACACGCTGCACTACTAACCTGAGTCCCGGAGAGGACTCGTTAGCACTCCAACGCCCAAGTCAGTTTCCTTTTCTAGAGAGAGAAGTGAATAGTAATTTTTAGAGAGAAGCACCAACCTGAGTAAATGAAGTTCACCAACCGACTATTTATACCCGAAGCCCGGCCGACCAACATCCTTCCCTTTCGCCCCTTGCCAGACCCGCAATTAATGCTCCGTACGGCCTAGCGCCCATGCGCCTCGACCATCTGACACTCCGTTCAGAAGGGTCAGGCGCATGACGTCAGCCAGTCCTCCGACCCGTACACTGGGACTCCCCGGTGCCCACTTGTCGCACGCGCCTCGTGTCAGGTTTGCGGCCCCACCCGTCTGGGGCAGCTTTTCCCTGTCTCTGGGCCGACTTTCCCTCTGTCCCTGGGCCCATTGGGCCGGGCCCAATTCCTCAGCCTCCCAAACTCTACTCTTGAGCCCTATTGGTTCAACCCACATGGGCCATGTATACATCCCCAACACCTCCATTATGATTATGATTCAAGATTCAACCAACGGGGTAAACGTACTGGACCATCCGCTTAATTATCTCTGCGTCAAAGCCCAATTTAAGCAGATGGATAGATAGATAGAAATACATATGGAGCTAGCTGACATTTAGTTGAAGACAAGAAATTGGGTTGTTAATTTATTGATCAATAACAAAATAATTACCCGTCTATGATTGATTTTTAACTGACATAACATATGGCATTTAGGGCGGCTATATCAGTTAAAGCACATACCAAGGACCGAAATGGGTATGGTTGTATTTGTATAATGATCTATCTTATCTATAATACGTTGAATTATGAGTCTCACATAAAAATGGGATAGAGGGGAGTTTGACGGTAGTTTTGTATTAATCCCGTAGGATATGAAGCTTGATGTAGGTTTCATGATTAGTTGTTGATTTCTTTGAACGACTTGAAATTATTTAGAACATCTTTTTGGGCTCCAAGGGAATGCTTCTGAGCGAGACTATAATATAAATGTATCAATGTATGAAAGAAAATGTTATGTAATAGCACGGCAATGGGGTACCGTCTTAAATTAAGGATCGTAGTGTTGCATATATAGAATTATGAACGTCAAAGTAGAGGATGTGTAACTCCAATGCTAAATCCGTGAGGGTCCGGATCTAAAGCGAACAATATATATCTATCGTGAAAAAGTTCGAGATGTTACAGAATGACTATGTAAGAGTGAGTCATGGTAAACTTTAATAGGCTATTCTTGTCGACCAAGACGAAATACAGCCGCGGTAAACAATGTCGGATTATATATTGTGCGACTTGGTTATCAACATATTTACTCGTGACATTGGTAATAAGAGAGAGGGAGCTAGTATAGTACTGGTTTAGCACCGGCTTTAAATTAAACAGGAAAGCATAGTAGTAGTTCGTGAAGCCGAATCCCAATCTTCCCCAGCCTTCATGAATACAAAAAGTTGCGGGGCTGGCTAACACTTTTCTACACACGACACATGATCTTTGGAATACAAAAGTGACGACATCACCAAAACGAAATAAAATCATCGCCGTCCAAAAAGAAGTAATAAATCCTAATGTGGTCCATGCATGCCATGGATTTTCTCTCTTTTTATTTTATTTTTTGGCGAGAAAATATAAAATTCTTTGTTTACAATATATATAGCTAGCCGTGGGGCATGAATAGTAGTTATTATGAATTATGAATTATTATTATTATTATATAAGGGTCAAATTTTAGCTAGCCAAGTTACGTGTGACTGAATCTTTGTTGACTTGATGTGAACGGAAACCGTATACTAGCTAGATTGACATTAGGGTTTCTGGCTGCATGCTATATATTTTTCATTAAAAAGTTGAGAAATAAAAGTTCCCTCTTGATAACTTCAAATAATTAATATGGGCCATCATTTAAGTGGAAGGAAATGACGGGCATCCAGTTCTTCTATTCTATCCACACCTTTTGACTTCAAGCTGTCAATGAAGACCCTCCCAAAGTCCTAATTAATTAATCAATTAGGGCAAGAATTATCTTTGATCATTACATAATAATCCATTCATTCATTCTCACATCAGAAGACTAATAAGAGACATCTTTCTAACAAGTAGTGGGCTTTGTTTTCAACATTCTATGACTAATATGTTGATCGACGACTTAATTTTTTTGGACTTTGTACTATCGTATCATTCCTTTCCAACTACATATAATTTTGCTGAAAACTGCATCATTTGGTATGAAGATTTCAAACAAGAAGTGCAGTGACTTGGGTAGAGAATTTCAGGCCATGTTTGGTCTCAAGTCTCAACAAAGGTTACTGGACAGTGGACACCGTTCCAACGAAAAGCCCAGCTTCTAACTCTAAACGGGCCTGCCTTATATGTTCGTTTGGGCCCTAGCCCTTTCGGCAGACAACATAACACACTCACTAGTCTCACTACACTACACTAGAACTAGAGTGACTAGACTACATAGCAGTAGATAACTCATTCATAACCACAGAACACAAATACCCACCCATGTTCTTGATAAGGACATTCATATTTCATAACCACACCGCAAAGTTGCTTAGTTGAGTCCGACTAAGAGGACTGACACCGTCACCGCAAGCTCTATCAGTTAGCCGAAAATCGAAACCTTCTGTATCAGTTTGGTTAGCGGTTAGACAATGAAGGGTAGCAATAGTTTTAGGGAGAGTCCGGACCGGCGGCAACTGGCAGGAGCAACTTCAGGGAGAGACTAGGCAAGCGACAACATCAATAGCTTCAAGGAAAGTCCTGGCAGGCCGTGGACGACGAGACGAGAAGACGATGACGGCTGGCGATGATGAAAGTCCAGAACGATTTGAGGATTGGGCAAGGTCGAGGTTTCAGAAGATGAGAAGGATTCGAAACCGATAGGCAACGACGAGGTGTGACGAGAGGACGACTAGCTGATGACGAGGCGGAGAAGATGATGCCAAGATGGTTGGCTGATGACGGGCAACGACGATTTAGGGTTCCTCGTTCTTTCTTCAATTCGACAAATTCGGTTAAAAATGAGCCGAATAACCATGCTTATCGGTTCGCTTTTGCGATATGTTTGACAGTCTTATACGTGATTGGAAACTTGTAAGAGATCAACCCATTAACGTCAACATAAGCTAATCCTTTGTTTTCATAATTGACTATGCATTACAAAACCTAAAAGTACATATAAGTATTTGATCAAATTTCAGTCCTATGACATGATTTATACATCAATAAGATATTCCTCCCAATTAGAACCACACAAATGACAAATCCATAGCTACAAAAGAGAGAACTTCACAGAAAAAAAGAAGTGATTTATTGGACTTACGAGTTATACAACAATCTATCCTTTCTCTAACTCGTCAATGGAGACAAAACTTCTGTAGGTACGAGTACCGGACCTTTACACGGTACTTGGTCTTGGTGTCACTACTACTTGTTGTTGCCTGCATCAGCAGAAAAGAGGAAAAGAAAAAAAATGTCAGGAGCAAGAGCAAGCCAATTCTTCCCCCTTCCACTTAACCATCATCACATGTTCGTATTACGATTATCTCTTCTCATCAAGCCATGGCCACTCTTTCTCTCGCAGTTTCCCCACCCTCACCAACCCCATTCCCTTTCTCTGCTCCTCCTCCTCCTTCCAACCCCACAATCCAATGCTGCAGCAACATCTCAAGCTACAATTCCGCTCCTCACGAACAGCTTCACTTCCCCACAAACGGGAAGCCAAGCTTCCAGCAGTCCCCTTTCAACACCAACTCTCCCCTGCCGCCGCGGCCCCGCCGCATAATCCTCGTCCGACATGGAGAGAGCGAGGGGAACGTGGACGAGAACGTCTACACCAGAGTCGGCGACCCCAAAATCGGCCTGACCCAAAAAGGGAAAGCTCAAGCGGAGGAATGTGGGGCCAGAATCAGGGAGATGGTCGAAGGAAATGGAGCGGCAGAGGACTGGAAATTGTACTTCTATGTTTCCCCTTACAAAAGGACTCGGCAGACTCTGCAGCATCTTGGGAAGTGTTTCGAGCGCCGGAGGATAGCCGGAGTAAGAGAAGAGCCTCGGCTAAGGGAACAGGATTTCGGTGGGTGCTAATTTGGGGAATTAGCCCTTAGGGTTTGTAGGTGGCTAATTGCTAATTAATTGACAGGGTAGTGAACAGGGAATTTTCAGGACAGAGAGAGGATGCGGGTCGAGAAAGCTCTGCGAATGTTGTACGGAAGGTTCTTCTTCAGGTTCCCTAATGGAGAATCCGCAGCCGATGTCTATGACAGGATCACAGGTAAAAGAAAACCCACAGTAATCAAAAGGCGTGTTGTAAAGAATCCTCACCATTAATTGCTTATGAAATTGGATGATGAGGGGCAGGATTCAGGGAAACGTTGAAATCGGACATCGACGTGGGGAGGTTCCAGCCGCCGGGGCAGAGGAGCGAGGACATAAACCTGGTGATAGTGTCCCATGGGGTGACGCTGCGGGTGTTCTTGATGAGATGGTACAAGTGGACGGTGGAGCAGTACGAGAGGCTGCATAACTTGGGCAATGCGGGCATGGTGGTGATGGAGAAAGGCCACGGTGGGAGGTACAGTTTGCTGATGCATCACAGTGAGGAAGAGATGAGGGAGTTTGGGCTGACTGAAGAGATGCTCATTGATCAGGAGTGGTAAGTAAGGACCAGATACAGTTTGTTCACAGCTTGGACAAGTAAAACTTTTTGCTCAAATTTTGTTGTTGTGATGATGAATATATCAGGCAAAAACATGCGAGACCAGGGGAGCTGAACTATGATTGTCCGACTATCAATTCATTCTTCACTCATCTCGGAGACGATGGGTGCAGAACGTGATGAGAAGAAAGGGACTGGATAAGTGAGAAGCTAAGCTACCTGTGTTTTTCCATGGATGTAGCTAGTTTGCTTTTTTTCTGGGTTTATTTTCTCGTCTAAAGCAGGGGAGTTCTTGTATATGTATATATGGTAGATAAGAAATACTGCAGATGTAGTAACTGTTTAGGGTGGCTCAATGTTTTTGAGTCTGATTCTAATTTCATAGTTTTTTTTTTTTTTTTAACATAGTCAAGAAGAGAAACAACGTCACATAGTCAAAGTACAGAGATCAACGCCGTGCGGAAGTCGACAAATAGTCGAACTTCCGATGAAAGGGCTTGTTTTGCCACAAAATGGGCGGCCCTGTTAAAGATGCGCTTGGCATAAGAGCACGAGCAGAACTCAAATCCCTGCGCCATCCTGTGAATGTCTTCCAGAAGCGCACCTCCCATCACGTGTTGTCGATCCCCGGATAGCACACGTTGGATCACCAGTTGCGAATCCCCAAACAATTTGACATTGAGAAAGTTCCGGGTTAGGCACCAATCCATAGCATCACGCAAGGCTAGGAGTTCCGCTAAAAAAGGATCTTGGATATCAGAGTAGAATTTACCTACAGCAAAGGTGAGCCCACCAGCAGGATCAAATCCGACGAACCCAACGCTACACCCACGGTCACGTTTGGTGGCTCCATCAAACCTTACCACCCAGCTTTGGGATTCAGCAGCTCGCAAATCCATTACCCGCACCGCGACAACCCCCGATAATGACGGCCCCGGATTTCTGATGCGGTCTGGAATCTGGCCATTATTTCCTTCCGGCTGCTCCCCTTGGCCGGACGTAGCTGTTCGCCATTCATCCCTCTGCGCGCGGAATTGTCTCAATAGGGCAGGGGGTAGATACTGAATACCCCCATGGACCGCCCAGCAGCGTCCTTTCCAGATCCTCCAGCAGAGGAAAACCACTTCCGCCACCTGAACCTTTGCAATCGCATCGAAAGAAGAAGATTATTCCATGCATCATCTATAGGCAGGCTTACCAACGAGGAGTGGATTCCCGATAGACCAGCCAAACCCCATAGAGGTTGCGCGACCCTGCAATGAAAGAAACAATGAGCAAAAGTCTCCGGAGCATCAGAACAAATAGGACAGGTTAGAGAGTCAACTAAAGTCTTGTGAAGTAAGACAGTTTGAAGGGGAAGAAAGCCCCTGACCACCCGCCAGAAGAAAAATTTAAGCTTCGGCGGTGATTCTAATTTCATAGTTGCATCACTGCTTCTTTGGACTTTGGAAAATAAGACGGGAAACATTGTCACTTGGCATCTTATAATCTAACCGAAATGAAATTTAATGAAACGAAATTAATTTTTGAGTCCAAAAAGTTGCTGTGGTGTAGTTGTTATCACGTCAGTCTTACACATACACACTGAAGGTCTCCAGTTCAATCCTGAGCAGCAACAAGTTTTATTTATCTGTTTAGTTCAAGTTCAACTAGTTTTGATAAATCTGTGCCCAACCTAAAGCAGGTATCCACTAAGAAAGACAGCAACTACTTTTTAGTTTTTACTGGTTCTGGTTCTACCTTGTTAAACTCGATTTTAAGATTGAAAACAGGCCAAATATGCATCCCTTGCACTTATTTCATCATTTTCATCAACTCAGATCAAATCCGCCCTGCCGAAGATAGCGATAAAAGGCTGGAGCAACAGTTTGGCAACTCGAAATGACGTCTTGTTGCCAAGAACAGAAACAAAGTGGCACACATCATTGCCTCATCCATAAATAATTTGAAGTTTATCACAAAGTCACAAAAATTAAGAGAGTACATCTGGAGATGACAAAAGAATACAAGATGGCGGTTAAGTACCTATTCTAAAAGTGGGGTTGTGAACCCTAATGAGATTATATCCTGATAGGGGGGGTAGTCAGAAGCTGTTGAGGAAGAAAAACGTTTGATCTCGAAACTAACACATTTTGGCCGATCAAAAAGGGAGCGCTACAACAACACGAAAATCCATTCTCACACACAGCAACAACAATCTTCCTACCAGTAATCGGCTTTTGTGGCTGGTACGTCTCTACTCTTCTTCCTTGTCATAGTTTTTTTTTATTTCTTTTTCTCTAGTATTGTAGCATTGCCTTCTAGGCAGAAGTGCAAGGCACATCTTCCTGTTCATCAGCTATGGTGGTAGAAGGTTTGTGAGCAGAGGATGGTGGCTTCTCAGGAGGGGAAGAAGGCTTGCATGGCCGGTTTGGACGAGTCTGGTCAACTTTGTCTTTGTTAATGTCAAACTGCAAAACCAGTTCTTTCAGTTAATAGAAGGAACAAAATCAAGGTACAATCATTCCTCGTGGAAACTGGCATAAGCTGATTGATCTCAAGGCAAAATTACTGAAATGCAAAAAGGATAACCATCAATTAACTCCAGCAAGCTGACCTTATAACCGCAGCCAGACACACAGGCATGGAAGCATTCCTGTATGCAGAAAGAGGGACCAGGTCAACGTAAGCAAATGAAAAGGGAGAAACACCAAAAGATACCTCTGAGTAGCTAGCAGCTCCAGGTGAACGGTCAATGTAAGCACTCCATTGTTGGTCTTTTAATACAGGGTCCTTGTAGCATATCTCTTCACACGCTTCCAAGCCTGGAGAGATGCAGCTCAACAGTTAAAAGTGCATATCCAGCCAGCAGCCAAACATGTGTCATGAATATCTTTAGGTCACTCAAGTTCTCAAATTAGCGATTGTTTTAGTTAATCCTTAACATGCAACTAGATGTAACAAATGATTCATTTACATGTCATGAGCCAACTGCATGGTACACAGTCAATCTGCATTCCAGTATGAAATTCACAATTCCATCATCTCCTACTAACAAAGAGGATTTGAACATAGTATTTGAATGATTATCAATGCAACTAGATTTTCAAATGTGAATCAAGACACTAGCAGACGATCATGAGGGCAACTAGAGAATATGGAAACTCACACTCTTCCCATGTGTCTCCATCAGCATTACAACCTTTCTTGCAAAACACTCTCCCTGCAAAAAAGACATTAATCAATTACCCTTTGCATTATCTAGCAAATACTGTCTACTCTCTTAGCATCCATGAAGTCAGCAAGGTTAGGCCACAAAAGCAAAGGAGATCCGCCATAGTTTACCTTTTACCGATTAAGAGAGCATTAGATTATCATCAAAGCATATGAAGCACAAAACTAAAAGCGCATTGGAAGCTCCGCTAAATTGTGTTGCCAATGAGATTCTTGTATTTGTGAAGCCTAAATGGGTCCAAGGGAATTCAGCAACAAATGGCCAACGCATATTCTGGCCATATACTCTCTAACACAACACAAGGTTCTCGAATCCATATGAAACAAGCTACAACAGAAACCAACACATTTGACTCATAACCTAATCTGCATTCTGCAGATGATTGAAAAAACTCTCCAAAATGAACGAAATTTAGAGCTGCACCATGATTCCTCTTTCCAAACGGCCAGGCCATGGACGATAGAGTATGACCTGAGCTACAGGGCATTTGAATCAAACATCTCCCATTATGATCTCAACACGATGATGAAGACAACTATCAATGCTCCTAATAGCTTGAACCATATACCTATCCGGCTAAGCAGAAGGATTATGATTCAAGGAAGAAAGCTTGCAGAGGACAAAAGCTTAATAGGACCAAAGAAATCATCAACATCACCATTGACCATATGTAATAAGATTGCATGCGACAGTTCTTTGAAAAAAATGCCCCAATGAAAAAAATCTACGAAACCCATCTTTGTCTAGGCGAAGCTACCGGAATCAATCAAAGTTGCATATAAAGCTCCATTCGCAAACAGGTAGAAAGGGAAACAGACAGACAAAGCGACCACATGCTTTCTGCAAAGGAAAAGGAGGAACACAAAGAGAGAAACATTTACAAGGAATCTGAGTTAGGGCAGCGTATTTGTGGGTGCATTCGCCGCCACAGGGTTGAGCCCATTGCTGCGGTATCATATCTCCGTCTCCGGGTCTCTCTCTCCGAAAAGCCGCAAGCAGTTTCGGGTCGCCGACGGCAAGGCAGGGCAAAGGAGAAGAAATTTGCAGCGGTGAGTTTCATTATATAGGTCAGGGGTAGTCTAGTCATTTGGTGTAATCACGGGCTGCCATTTCCGGCCACTGATGGCCTCTCCTTCCTTTTCAGACTCCTTGGAGGAGAAAATTCGATGCGCATGGAGTGGGTGACGTAAACTTCGTCGTACCGAATAAAACGTTGTCGTACTGGATAAAATTGTCAGAAAAATTGCAAAAAGTGAGGGCCTCTCCTTCCTTTTCAGACTCGTTGGAGGAGAAAATTCGATGCGCTTGGAGTGGGGTAAACGTCGTCGTACTGAATAAAACGTTGTGGTACTGGATAAAATTGTAAGAAAAATTGCAAAAAAATGGAGATGCGAGGTATCGATCCCCGTACCTCTCGCATGCTAAGCGAGCGCTCTACCATCTAAGCTACATCCCCATGTTGAAATATTTTTCAATGATACTTTATTTATCTTTTGTTAGCTTCTCTATTCCACCGCTCATCAAAGAGTAAATTTACCACAAAATTTGATGGAAATAGAAAATGGAATTTTTCAATTAACCGATACCCCATAAAATCAATATTTGATTATTCATGTGTCATATATAATTACACTTCCACCAAGACGAGAAGGAAAATTCCAACTAGTTATTTATACATGCTTTCTCTATCTCTGACTCTACTCTTTATTCCTGAACCCCGAGCTCATTCAATTCGACCCTCCAGCGAGCTTCATCTCAATTGATGCTGCACCGACCAACAGATCAATGCACAGAGAGCTCAAACTCATGCGGTAAATTAACATCAAAAGCCATATTAAACGCTACGTTCTAATTATTATCGATCAATGGAATAATGGTACCTCTGGCAGTTGATAGCCTTGGAAATGGGAATGCTTATTGCAACGCCACACTTGGTAGGGAGAGAGGAAGCCGCATCTTCCTTGACCGGATAGTGGTCGGCGGCGGCCTTGACACAGGCGCAGGCTGCCCTCCTGTCGTCGACGGTGGCAGTGCTGGCCTTCAAGCTCCGGATTCCGTCGCAGCACTTAGGGGCAGGGTCCCCTGCTCCGGTGGTCAAGTAAGGAATGCAGGGCGCCAGGTCTCCATCCACTTGCCCGCAGCTTATTGCCGCATCGCCTGCCTGAATCATGGCCAGCATTGAAATCACGAGGACTGCTGCTGTTGCTCCCTTCATTTTGGTTTCTTTGAATTGCAAACTCTGCTTTCTGCTGATGTGGGTGAAACGGAGTCGGGGATCAAGTGCGGTATTTATAGTGCCAAGTTTTTGGGTCCTGGCAAATTCGTTAGGAAAAAGAAAGTAGTTGAAAATGTGACATTTGAATCGCTTTCCGTTTTAACAAACCTACAGTGTGGATGCAATGCACATCCCAATGTTTGCTTTTCCACCATTGTTGTCCATTTCTGCTTATTGTTAAACTAATCAGACCCATTTAACAGGAGTCTCATCAGTCATCAACAAAACAGTCAAGGAATCTAGCAAAGTTCATGTTCTACCCAGGGGCGGAGACACAGTGTAAGTAGGGTGTTCCATGGCACACCTTTGGGTTGGGGCTAGAACATAAAAAAATAGGGGTATTAGTTTATGCTATTGTTAGGATTTGGACATGAAACCCCCTTACTATTAGTTTTTTGACATCTTCCACTAAACCACAGTTACTTATGTGATACACTAATACGTTTTATTGCATATATATAATTTAATGTTTATAAATAATAAGTAAATTAAATTTAAAAATCTCATAATTACATGCTTATTCAAGCAATATTCGAAACTTTAGCCCTAACAAGCAAGCTTCTCCCCGTCCCACCCTTGACCCTTCATCTTCCTTCTTTCCTCTTTCTCTTTGGCACCTCTTACCCAAAATTGTGGCTACGCCACTGGTTCTACCCATAGTTATTGGTTGTATGATTTTATATACGCAAATGACGAGAGAGATGGGCCTGCTTTATCTGTAAAGGCCATGGAACCGGCCCAAAGCACCGAACCCAAACATCAAATAAGGCCCTGGACTGTGGACCCTAATAATTTTGGGGTAACAGGCCATAGTTGCAGATGAACGAAACGAAGAAAGGATCCATGGGAATTGTGAAACAGTAAGAACATGAACATCTATTTTTGTACGATTTGGTGAACCGGAGCTAACATAGATAAGTCTGTGGGGTGTGGGTAAACTTGATATGAGAAAAGATTATATTCACTGGGATTC